CGACGTCGACGTTGTCGGCTGCTGCGTCACCCGCGAAAATGCGCCGCACTTGTTCCTCTCTTTTTCTCTCTTTTCATTCGCTTTTCGGCAGTAAAACGGGCGCCTGCACATGCGTCGTAAACGGACCGTAACGTTCAATCAGCGCGAGAAATTATGAGGCAACACTCATGGCGACTTATTGCGCCCGCGCATGGCAGCGACGCACCTGCGAGGACACCGCTAGCACAACCTTTAGTCGTTCTAATTATGCGCATTTCAGCTTTCACTCGCTGTTACTCGCGCGCCAAACTAGCCGGAAAATAAGTCTTAAGGGGACCGGAGAGTCAGATTGCTGATAAATCATGCTTGTTTCTGATAGTACTTTGTGACGAACTGAATAAATGTGCAAGAATGATAATTTTAGGTATATTTATACAACATATGAAGAATAGAAAAATTTTGTTTATTAACAAATACTCATATAAATATACGATATATATAGCTGAAATATACTCTCCTTTTTTTTTCAAGTTGTCGCTTTTGCAGTAATATCTCGGCTCTCGATGGTCCGATCAGAGCGAATTTTAACTAGAAATCTTAAGGAGGCTTATCATTATCCGGTGAACCACTACGAAAAAATCGAACAGAATTAATAAAATAGCAGCTATTATTAGGAAAAAATTCAAATTTTTCAGTTCTCTTACAATAAAAAAATTAATATCTCGAAATGAGATATTTTGACGTAATTGTCCATGGTTCATCTGAGAGCCAAATGAACAAATATTATTGCTTTAAAATTTCAAATCGATACAAAGCTCAGTTTCGGAGAGATCATTGCAAAAAGTTGACCAATAAAATTTCGAGAAAAACACGTTTAAAATTTAAGTGGACGTATATTTATACGAGTATCTGTTAATGAACAAAATTTTTCTACTCTTCATATGTTATATAAATATATCAAAAATGTTCATTCTTGCACATTTATTCAGTCCGTCACAAAATATTATCAGAAACAAGCACGATTTTTCAGCAATCTGACCCTCCAGTCTCCTTAAACCTCGCGGAGAGTCGGGAAGCCACCTTGTGACATAAGTCCTTTTTGTAGGATTTCAAAATATCAAGGTCGCGCGATTGTGCGCGCTTCTTTCCGAAGATGCTCTGGAGAAACGCGTTTTCCTCGCAGTTTCACATTCATAAATTCTTAAATATCGGTAGTCGTTAGTTGATCGCGTGTCTCACATGGAGCAATCAGACTTGAATCCGGAGCCGAAACGGAGAGTATTTCGGTTGAAGTAATAAATAAATGAAGGCTTCGGTTGAGACACTCGGAACTGAAAATGCAAAGCTAAACCTGAGATTTCCAGTTGAATTACACGACGTACGTGACGTTACGTTTTTAATCGACTCAAGAACTCACATCTAACATTAAATCTCAATGTCTCACTTGACGTGAGATTCAGGAGTTACGTGAGACTCGTAACTTGAAACGTAAAACTCGTCTACGTTACGTAAGAAATGTTCAAATTCGAGTTTAGAGTCAGATATGCAGTTTTCAATGAATGTAAATACAATTTCTGAATTTCTAGGAAAACTACAAAAAGGATCTTTAATTCCTTTAATGTTGTCGCCGCATTTTATTGCTCTTTGCCGTCAAATCATTTTCATGCCAGTACAGCTGGTATTCCGAGTGCAACGGATTAAAGCCGCGGTCTGCGTCTTGGCCGTGCTGTTATCGGCACAGAATAGGACGCGTGTATGAGATACGATAATATACTTAGAGAACGGTGGGTTAAACGTGCGGGAAGAATGTTACGGTGCGGCCGCGCGGAGGAAAGTGGCAGAGAGAAAGAGGACGAGACCGTAATCGTGTTTTAACCGATATCGTGAAGACATTTTAAAGATTACTGACTGAGGTATTTCATGGACGTACCGTGGTGGTGGTATTTCGCGGACATACAATGGGGAAGCGAATTCCATAAATATTATACAGAGAGTACAATATTATCTGCGCGCGGCGAAATAACTTACGGTTACGACGAAGACGTGGCTAAGAAACTGCGGAAATTCCGATCTGTCTTCCGGCTTGCCTCGGCTTCCAATATCTTAAATAGTAAAACTCGGCAGGGAAAGAGAGAAAAGTTAATTTCGCGAATACCGATATCTTTGTAGTGTCGGTGTGGCGCGCGGTTTCTTCGGAAATAAATTCCTGAGATTATCGAAACGGTAGAAGTGGCGTTCGGAGGATTACACGCAGCTTATACGTAAAATATTCCCTCCTCGGCTACTCTTGGCTGGCTCTCGCTAACTCGTCGGATCTCTCATTTTCTATTCTTTGTCGCACACGGCGACAGCTATACGTTCCTTTATGGAGCGGCTGAGGTGTCGATGGAAATAAAAGTGACGCAATCATTTAATCCTTGAACACTAGAACCTTTTTGTTACCTCCTGTTACTAGAACGGGGGAATTTTCATCCATAATTTTTTTTATTATTTCTTTTGAGTTTACATGAACCATAAATATTTATGAATATTATAAATCCTGGCAGGACACCGCTGTGTAACGTGCTGCTAATGGCAACAGTTAAAAAATATCATCGGGTGCATTTTCATGCGTCATAGTGTTTAATGGTTGATAAGAGTCTTGAAAGCCGTCGCAGGTTGATGATTTTGAAATTTCCAAAAATCAACAAATTAAGAAAAGTTTGTGCACTATTGTAACAGTACATTTTTGAGACCAAACACAGTGGAAAAGTTTCTAGTATTTTCCCTCCGATAAATAGTTACCAACATATCGTAAATTAAATACTGAAAAAGTTACCAAGTTTTCCTAAAATATCTCAAAAAATATTAGGCAAATAAAGAAATGTTTTAAACAAAAATTGCTCAAATTAAATGGTAGAAAAAGAAAATATAATAAACAAAATTAAAATTTCCATTTAGGAAAAGTAATCATACAGGGTAGTTCATTTTGATTTATCCACTCAAATATCTCAAAAGATATAAAAGATATGGAAAAACTTTTCAGACAAAAGTTATTTGGTTTGAAGGGGGACGAGGATAGGGATATCATTTTGTTTACAGATGGCATCACTTTCGAGATATTCACTCATCATTACTTTTCTTAAATCGAAATCGCACTTTTCTATTATATCAACTTTTTTTACCAATTAATCTGAGCAATTTTCTTGAAACACTTTTTATTTGCCTAATATCTTTTGGGATATTTAAGGAAAACTTAGCAACTTTTTTCAATATTTAACTTACGATAATTTAACTTAGATAAAGATGATATAATAAGAAGAATTAGAGTTTCCATTTAAGAAAAGTGAAATGATCAATGAATATCTCAAAAGTGGCGTCATCTGTAAACAAAATAATTCAATTGTTTTATGTCTTCCTTGAAACCATATAACTTTTGTCTGAAACATTTCTTTTTAAATACTTAATTTTCGAAATATTTCGCCGTCTCAGTACTTTTTATACACTCTGTACAATTATATGTAAATTGTCTTTTTTATGATCATGTATACAGCCATATGAAATTATACACACATCCAGACTTTCTATGTGCGCAAGCGAAAAAATGCTGTCAAACGAAGAAAGAATGACATTGCTTCGTGTGTGTTACATTTGTTACCTTCATAATATTTTTACAACAGCGTTTTTCCCAGTGAGAGACAAAATTTTTCGTACATAATCATATATAATTATTTTTGCCGGGCAAAAAAATATCACTAGCGACGCATAAGGTTGGTCAAACCTCTTTGGCATTAACTGCGCTTATCGGTGGGAATTCACACGAGGTCATCAATTTGAGATGATCCGCAGTATTTCCGCCAAAGTCTACGCGCTAAACAGGACGTAGATGGTTTCCGGAGACTCACCGAATTTTCCGAATTTCCCGCAACAACGTTCATTTCTGCTCATAAAGCCGAGTCAATTCGCCATCTTGGCGTCGCTACGAGGCGACAAGAAAAATTGCGCAACGCGCGCAACAAGATCGTTGCCGTCGATCGCTCCTGCGAGATTGCGACGTATTAAATCGCGTGTGTAATGGAAACGGCGGCGATGCATCGCAGTGATACGCCATACCTTGTCGCCGGTCGCGACGACGGCGAAGAATCCCCTCATACTTAGGGCTGTTTTAATGCCGTTGAAAGTGCTCTCGTTTTTTAAACTTCGAACTTGCCGCTGTCGCGTGCGGCGAAACGCACTCGCATCGCGCGCCTATGTGAGATACGCTCGAAAAAGATGAACGAATTACGTTTAACTCGTCGTCCACTTAAACATTTATCGTGAGATGTTTTGCAGCGTTGTTAACCCGTCAACCGCCAGCGCGAGGGAACTTTTTGGTTGACCTATTGGATAAAATCTTATCTGATTAACGTAAGATATTTATAATAATATCGAAGTAAATAATTGCGACGGCATTTTTTAACGGTGTCACTAGTTAACATATATTTTTTGTATTTTTAAGGCAAGGATTTACGACGTTCATAAATACCTTCGATCATTTTTGCTTAAATGAAAGAAGTCTTTTTTATAGTGGAAAGTTATTATTTTCCCTTTAGAAAATTATATATGATTTAAAATAGTTTTACACGTTGTTACAAATTTTTGCCAAATATTTAGTTCATGAGCGCACGGCGACTAAAGAATAACTAAGAAAATATTAAAAAATTATGAGTAAAAATTCACCCGTCCTAGTTATTAGGAGGCAACAAATATATTCCAGTGTTCAAGGATTAAAAGGGAAAAAAAAAAACAATTTTAATATCAATCTGAGGTCTCTAGCGAAGGAACGGTCCGATTGAAAATACTCGCGCAACAATTACGGCCTTCAACGGTTCAATATCGCGCTGCGCGAGCACTTTTTCCCAGAGTACCCCTCGGAATATCCCGGTGCTCGGCGGAAGTTCGAGCGCGCATAGCGCGACTTTACGACCCGTATTCACCTGGTCGTCGTCGTCGAGAGGGCGCGCGCGCGCGCGAAGCGTTATCCGCTCTCCTGAAAAACTCACCGTAAAGCCGGATGTTCCCCTCGGCGTCGCCGATGGAGTTCTTCGAGATGCATTTGTAGCCGCCCAGGTCCTGCTTCTGCAGGTTCATGATCACCAGGCGCATCTGCACGCTGTACACCGACGTCTTCATCTCGGACATCGCGTACTTGCTGTTGCTGATTATCATCTCGCCTGCGGAAACAGGTTCGAGGAACTTGGAGTCGCGCGAGAGCGGCAGCGAGAGGCGGGCGTTAAAAAAAAGACGAAAGGGCGGAAGGGCAAGAGGAAGAATCTCACGCTTCGACGAGTATTTTTGCTCGGACGCGCGAGCCCGGGCTTTCTCCTCGCGAGGACGCGAGATGAAAGCTCCCGGGGTGTTTTCGCGCGAGACGCGCGAGAGTTATTATGAGGTACTCGAGCGCGAGCGCGAGCGAGATAAGAGGCGGCCGATAAGAGGCGTTACTCCTGCGAGCGTTGGTATCGGCCAACAAGAAGCACTACGAGCTACGCTGTATTACCCGACTCCCGGGTCCAGTAATTAATGGCTTTGGGTGACGCCTCCACGTGGCACACTAACGTGACGTTGGTTCCGGTCGGCGCGCCGACCAGCTGGTTCGGCACCTGGACCATCGGGTGAACTGCAATTGAAAAAGAGCGCGTCAGTCGACGCTTAGTCCGTTCGCCGCTAATTAATCTCCGATTGATCGCTATCGCGCGCGCGCGACGTCACAAAGGGCACTTTTCCAGTCTCGCAGACTCTCGTTCTTCGCGACAGCACCGCGAAAGCGGCGTTCTGTCCAACAGAAACAACGCTGTACATATCATATCACTCGCGCGTACAATTCAATCGCCTTACCTCGCCGTCACATTGCGGTCCCTTTGTGCGAGTGCGTCATTAGTGAGTCGTGTGCGCGGCTCACGCTAATGAAACACGCTGACAGACTGTCATTTGGCGAACGAGCAGAAAGGGCGCTTCCTGTCTCTATCTTTGTCTCTCTGCCTCCCTCCCTCCTTCCTCCCCCCTCTGTCTCTCGTCCTTGCTCTTTATCTCCCTCCTTCCCCCCACCGGCGCAGCATCGCACTGCCTTTCGTTTCGAGTATCGTAAGCAGCTTTTCGTGAGCTGCTTACGTTTTAACAGGCGACCGCGCCGAGCACTTCTTCTTTCGGCCGAGGCTTCGGCCAACGCTGTGTCGTCACAAAGCGCTTACAGTGCGTTTTACAGCGGCTACTTAACCCCCCACTGACGTGAAATTTTACCCTCTCCCCCCGCCTCAACACCGTCCGAGGAACCCCTAGGAAAATCTGTAGCCCATTGAACCGAGTCCCGCGTCTTTTCCGGGAATATTCTGCGGTGGAGGAATTTCTCTCTGCGCGAGCGCGTATCGCTCCGAGACGCGCTGTTCCCACCCCTCTGCCTGGTCTCTCGATAACGAAGCTTTCGCTCAGTCATCGATTACAGCGACGTCAAACGACGACAAGATATTTCTGTCTCGAGGAAGAGAAAAATACAGTTGGAGCTTGATTCAACGGTATTTTTTGCTGAGGCAGCAACCGCAAACGCGTCTACGACTTGGTTGTCTTTTTCGAAAATATTTCGCGGCGGAAAAATTCCTCCGCCATTATTCTCCCCTCCATCTGGTCTCCCGATGTCGAAGCTCTCGCCAAGTCGTCGATTACAGCGACGTCAAACGACGACAAGGTATTTCTGTCTCGAGGAAGAGAAAAATACAGTTGGAGTTTGATCCGACGCTATTTTTTGCTGAAACAGCAACCGCAAATGCGTCTATGATTTGGTTGTCTTTTTCGAAAATATTTCGCGGCGGAAAAATTCCTCCGCCATTATCCTCCCCTTCACCTGGTCTCCCGATGTCGAAGCTCTCGCCAAGTCGTCGATTACAGCGACGTCAAACGACGACAAGGTATTTCTGTCTCGAGGAAGAAAAAAATACAGTTGGAGTTTGATCCAACGGTACTTTTTGCTGAGACGGCAACCGCAAACGCGTCTACGACTTGGTTGTCTTTTTCGAAAATATTTCGCGGCGGAAAAATTCCTCCGCCATTATCCTCCCCTTCACCTGGTCTCCCGATGTCGAAGCTCTCGCCAAGTCGTCGATTACAGCGACGTCAAACGACGACAAGGTATTTCTGTCTCGAGGAAGAAAAAAATACAGTTGGAGTTTGATCCAACGGTACTTTTTGCTGAGACGGCAACCGCAAACGCGTCTACGACTTGGTTGTCTTTTTCGAAAATATTTCGCGGCGGAAAAATTCCTCCGCCATTATCCTCCCCTCCACCTGGTCTCCCGATGTCGAAGCTCTCGCCAAGTCGTCGATTACAGCGACGTCAAACGACGACAAGGTATTTCTGTCTCGAGGAAGAAAAGAATACAGTTGGAGTTTGATCCAACGGTACTTTTTGCTGAGACGGCAACCGCAAACGCGTCTACGACTTGGTTGTCTTTTCGAAATATTTCGCGGCGGAAATTCTGCATTATCTCCCTCACCTGGTTCCGATGTCGAAGCCTCGCTCAGTATCACGACAAGGCGCGATACTGTATTTATGTGAATTGAGGGGTTGGGGGGAATACATTTGGAATTTGATTCGACGGTATTTTCGCAAGTCGGCGACGGTAGGACGGCAAGCGTAAACGCGTCTCTCCCGAAGATCGCGTTTGTGCGACTTGGCTGTCACTTTCCCAGCCGCTGCTTCAATTTTCGTCGCGCGACGTCTCGGGAGATGTATCGCGACATAAAAATAATGTCATTTGCATACAAATACGAAGCATGCAGACGAGCTATCTGTATTCACGGTGGCGTCTGCGAAATTTGTCATTACAGTCCCTAACGATTCTGTATCGCCGTCGTTAAGAGATAACGTTCCCTAAGACGGCCTCGTAACGTCAGTAATAAAGATTGCGCGGGCGATACCGGCTGGGATATATCGGGTGACGATATTATGTACGTGGTAACAGAAAATTAAGATGATGGCTCCAGATAAACTGGCCGTTTCCACCAACACTACGTGTCTCTGGTCTACTCTTTATCTCGCACGCCACTTGGGAAATATATGCTCTTCGCCGCCACCCGGCGCGCTTGTGCACACTAAAGATCGCAGCAGCGCGAGCAGCACCGAGACGGCACTTTTATATGAGAAAAGGGAATACACAGTGCGTCGGCCACTAAGGATCACCATAAATCAGATATATCGACACCTTGGAATAAAATTTCGGCATTTTCCCGGCATTTTGCACGCCCGCGCGAGCGAGGAATAGATAGACAGAGGGTGTGCGTATGTGCGAGAGAGAGAGAGAGAGCGAGAGAGCGAGCAAGAGAGAGAGAGAGAGAGAGAGAGAGAGAGAGGGGGACAGGGAGAGAAGCGTTTTGTTATGCGAGCAGCGACTTCGGCCGGCCGGAAATCCGGATACGACCGCGACGTTATTAATTACTGGGCGCGATTGCGAATAATTGGCAATTATGACGCACGTCGGTCAGCGTAAAACGCGAGCGCGCGCGCGAGAAAGAGCGGCGCGGATGATCAAAACGAACACAACACAACGCGCGTTAATTCGGACGCGCGCGCGCAGGCGGGCTCTCGACAATTTCGACCGAACAATTATGTAGCGAATTGAATCACGTTTCCGTCCCTAAGCACAACCGCGCGTTCTATCGCGAGAATTGATTTATGAATCCCTTCTGGCCACGAGCGGCGCGCGCGTGCGAGAGAGAGAGGGAGAGAGCGGGAGAGAGTTTTAATTGCTTCGATTTACCGGACGTGTCTCGCAGAGAGAGAGAGAGAGAGAGCCCGTCGCGCGATTTTCCGGCGGATTTGCGCCGCGAACTTTCGATCCGCCGCGGAAACCGGCGACACTGATTTCGCGCCCGCCTGTTCGCCGCGCGCTTCGTAGTGACGAATATTCACGCTGGGGATTCTTCGTGTTGCGTTTGGCTCCCGCGCGAGGGCGACGATAGGGCGGCGCGTTTGCTCGGATAACAAACAGCGCGAGAGATCGGCCGACATTACTCCTAATTGTGAACGAGCCCGCGGCCCGAGCTCGGCGAAACGCAAATACGCCGCGACATTTCGGCGTCGGTCCACCGCCAGCGAGCAATTGCACGGAATGCAAATCGTCGCTGTGCATTTTGCGCGTCGCCAGTTTATCGATAAACAGGCCGGCCTGTATATATCGAATCGCTTATACCCCCGCCGCCGCTACAAATAATCGCGCGCGCTCGAACGGAGTATACAATTGCACCTGCGACTCAGGTGCGACTCGTACGCGTAGAATCCTTCAAATCTTGCTGTACGCTGGACTTTATGAGCTTTTTCACTACGCGCACATAAATATATACACGTTTCTCTCTCGCTCTCTCTCTCTCTCTTTCTCTCTTTTTCTCAATATATTTCTCTTCTTTATTAATTTTTTATTTATTTAATTTTACGCTAGGTTGCGTGGAAAATAATTTTGGATTTTCTAGATTCTCCTCGAAACGTTTGTACCTTCATATCCTTATAATTTTACGAAACAATGTATATGAAGAATGGTGCAAAATTATAGGTCAAAATAGCGCATGTATATACTTTTATTTTTTATGTTCTTTATTTGTTTAATATTGCGTTAAGTTGTGTGGTAGATAATTTTGGATTTTCCTGATTTTCTTCGAAACAATCGTACCTCTGTGTCCTTATAATTTTATAATTTTATGATATTATATGAAGAATGGTGCAAAATTATAGATCAAAATAGCGCATATATGTATGTATTTTTATTTTTTCTGGTTCATTTTCATTTATTTAATGTCGCGTTAGGTTATGTGATAAGTAATTTTGGATTTTCCAGATTTGACGAAACGACCATATTTTATGTCCTTGGAACTTAATGAAATGATGTATACGAAGAATGATGCAAGATTATAGATTAAAATGACGGATATACAGTTTCATACTATTATAACAACATTAAGATGTGATTGTTTCGTTTCACTTGAGAAATCCGAAACTATTTATTGCAGAGCTCATTACTTACTTTCTAATTGGAAGAATTTTCTTTTTGTACATTGTAATTTCTTATTGCACTTGTGCTTGAGGGGAACGTCGATAAACATCGCTGTCTCTCTCTCTCTCTCTCTCTTCTTTCTCTCTTCGACTTTCTCGAATTTCTTCGTAATGAAATTTTGACGGATTGTCCTCTTCTTAACATTTAATATCCTGAGATTCAAGGGTCAAATTACAAGTTCGCTCCGCGATCAAATTCATTCGGGGATTTATTGAGAAAATGTCATCACCGTTGGTCCTTCATAACTCTTAAAGATTTCTACTAATGCAATAAATCCAGACATCCGCGGGATACTGTGTTTCACCGGATATTCTATACAGCTGAGAATACGCTCGAAAATATGATGCATCTCCATCATGTTTACGTATGCAGTAAGGTGGACAAGTTGACGCGAGGCGGCACCGCCGATAAATATAGCCGCGCCAAAATAAGCTCCTCGGGCATCAATCAAATAAACTTCACGGATGCGATATCTTTGCCGTGCAGAATGGATAGGTCGATCGATCTCTTGCGAACTACTGGAATAGAGTCGACCGCGGCGCACAATCCGGCTTGCAAATAAGTGCGGCGGCGGCGGCGGCGGCGGCCAATTTCTTTCGGCGCCGCCGCTAATT